CGACAAAGGCCGGCCTAGGAATGGTCGGATATGGCCCGACAAGCCCATTACGAACTGGTTCTATATATCCTTCGTATAATTAACAACGTCTGCAGTTAGCGAGGAATTGCGTAACTAATACGAAATAGGAAACGATAACCAGAAATGAATTGATTTTGATCTTCTTAATGAGATCGTGGGATCTTATATTAGGAAACCCGTCTCGTTGGGTTCCGGTGTATTTAATTTCGGAGTTATTTTTAACGAACGAAGTTTGTGAAATACATATACGTTCGTCACTAATTACTAAAATATGGAGACCTAAAGACGACCTAAATAAGACCTAAAGACGCTCAGTCATAATAGTTTTAACTAAAAGTTTGGCTGTTCATTTAGCGGGCTTTGGGCAGAGTATTATACTCGTAGATAGAATGATTCTACAGTATTTAATCACTAAATATGACAGGTGAACTTATTATACACAATGTAATATAGGGATGGAATTGAAAACCTACCTAAAATAGAAAACGGCAGATGGTATAATAAATTCAGAGAAACAAGGTGGTGAATTATTTTTAGAACAACGCACGAGACAACAAAAAGTTGCAGGTAATGAAGACATTCCGAAACATTAAAGTTAATGCTGGAACATCGGTACATCAAAATTAACATGTGAGAATATCTTCCATACAAAGGGTTCCGTTGAATCAATATTATCTTAATTTAGCGTAAAATTTTAGGTTTTCAACAAACAACAAGAGCAAGTTACCCTTAACCTTACATGTGATGTCGTTAGGATAAGGAGCGTTTGGGAAGCCGCCCAAGGCGTCGGACAGAAAGGGACGCCAAAGTCATGCGAGTTACATATAACCTTACTGACCCGCAAAGAGACCTTAAAAAGAGGAGATATTGAAATGTCACAATGCGCTAGTGGTAAAAGTGACACTAACCATTGTACTACGGGACCCTAAGAAAAGATGTTCCGTAAAGCATTTCGGTTGCGACCTTCCGGCGGCCGACAGATGGCGTGCTCTATAAGGACCTGAATTGCTACGGACATAATCTACTAATAAGGGATAACATTGAGCCGCCTTCGGACCTTGCGTTTAAACCTAATACCTTGGTACAACTATTGAGGCATTTTACTAACGATATCAACAAAGGTTATTTTTTTATATTACAAGGTGGCAAACCAACCCGCCACCTGAATCCACCGAAATGGCGAAGCGACCGCTGTCCATAGGCAGCAGCAATTGCAGATGCGTTGCCTACCTTTACGGAGGAGGAGACGCACATGAAAAGGATATTCGATTCAATGCGTCGCTTCCGCCATCAAATCCACTTTTCTTTCCCATCCTTTCCCCTTATCCCTTAACTTGGCAGAATTTTATTTTTTCAAATATCAAAATAATATTCATAGCACTTAACCTTGATGACCCAAAGTGTTTAGAAAAAAAAAATTGATGTATCTCTACAGATACACTAACAAGAAAAGGGTGGAAAGGAAATGAGACTAAAATTAGGCCTCCGGCACTACACTCATCAGAAAGTCGTAATTGCTCCAACTACACGCCAGTCTTCAGTGTGGTTAATTGCCTTTAAATAAATGTACACTGTATACAACATTAAATATAAATGAATAGTAGTTTTAATACATCCTGTGTCGTGTTAACTTTCGTTGTGATGACGTTTCTTGAATCAATAATATAGTTAGACAAAGGCTACGTGAATAATTTTAATATATCAAACTTTCAAAAGGAAGTCGCCGCTTAGTTATATTTAGGCAGTCGGTGATAAATTCTTATGTAAGAAACCTTGAATAAAAATAATTATGTTTTGCTTAGCAACAATATTTAAAACCTATCTATACTTTCATAATAAAGCGTAAACACACACTTCTTTGTTGCCTAATATGTCCAATGCTTTACACTTACGACACGCTTTATTTCACGCATTAAACTTACTTGGTAAATATTTTGAATAAAATCTCTAATGTGGGAAAGAGACTATAAGTTGCTGCCAACATGAAGGAAGCAAAATTGCCATAGTAACGTAATTGGTATTTTGATATTTGCAATTGAGACTTCGACAAATGTATACAATAAAATAGCGTTTTTAATTTTATGCGGATAAAGCCGCACGGGCAAGGCTAGTTACTAATACTCTAGTAATAAATTACTGGACACTAGTTTATTAATAAGCACTGCAATTGAACGGTTCGGTCGTTTACTTAGTTACAACTTGAATTAAAACGGTACCGCCTTGGTCACACGATTGCCTTGACCCTTTCCGCCCTTTGTAGGCGACAGTACGTACTTATTACTTACACTATTAGATATTACCTATAAATTGATTTTATAACAAAGGCAAATCTAGATGTCGTTTACAAATTATTTTCAATGATAATTGTTTTTGTAATTTTCTCAACACAAAGAACCCAAACGTACTTTTAGGGACTTACAAGACGCAATCTTACTTCTTACTAATATTATAAATGCGAAAGTTCATATGGACGTATGAATGTTTGTTAGGGTTTGTAACCTAAACAGCTGAACGGATCTCGATGGAATTAGCAAAAACATAGAGGATAATCTAAACACTTTTGTTTTTTTAAATTCCGCGTGGACGGAATCCCGGGCGAAAGCTAGTATAGGTTATAAAATAAACGCAGACTCATCATTAATTCGAGACAGCTGCACATTAGCGAAGAGATCGAAGATAACCGCATTCTGTTTTGACATTGTTGAATAAATGGAGGCATAGTATTAGAATTAACTAGACTACGCTTCGCCCGCGGCGATCTTTTCGCAATCGTAAGGCTTATTCACATGGATATTTTTAGGTACAATTCCCCAAACAATAATCAATTGTTTCGATAACCTAATTTTTAATTAATAAAGAACTGGAATACTAGACAATTTCAACAGACAATTCTTTTTATTTTTATTTTGAATACATGCATAGTAATAATTGTAGGGTATTTTTACCCGCACTATGAATACGGCTTTACACATCGCTACAATATCAAAGAGCCGTAGATAAGAAAGTTCAAAATAATATAATTGAATAGTTAACTCTTTGATCGATCGACATGTTATTAGTTAACCCTCCAGCCGCCGGGCAACAGTTCAGCTTCGAAGAAACAATTAAGTACTTTGAATTGCATTTACCATATAATTAGTCGTATACCGCGTTGGAAATGTATAATTAAACGCAAGTGTTTTAGCTGTGAAAACCAACAGTATCTATAAATCTATACTAAGAGTGCGTACACCTTTGACTAAACTATCTCACAACTAACCTCGCTTTGATTCATATGAGCTTATATGGTGGTGCGCACACTACTAAACTAAATGTTAAAATCTAAATCGGAGTCGGGATGGCGCTTCGCGGCCTTCGATGTTTAAGGACACGGCCGACGTAGACCGACGAGACTCGACTCGCGCGATCTAACCGTGCGGTGCACCCTGCTCATTGTTTGCGCGCGCCTACTTCTTCCCCACAAAAAACGCAAATTGTCCCTATAACTGCGCCTTAAACAGTTGATTTTTAAAAAACAATCGACAATCGCAACAGTGATACGATAGTTTAGTCATAGCTGTGCGCACACTAACGATTTTACTACAACCTGTTTATTTGATGGCTTCACATATAGCACGACTAAAACGTATTGGTACTTATAAATGATAATGAAGCAACTTTTACTTTTATATGTGGAACTAGGCGCGGTGTACGCCATGTATGAGGTTGCGAAAACTTGGTACTTGTTATGAACTTAGAAATCAAGTTGTTACAAAAACTTGGCCTTTCAATTGCAACTGTGGACATTTAAAATAAGCGAGTCTATGTGCTTATATTTCATGATTGATTTGTAATTGAATCCGCAATTTTAAAATAAAATATTTACTAAGTTTTAAATGATAAATTACCTATGACTAGTCTTTGCCCATTAACTTTTAAATACAATTGTTAAAAACTAGAAATATGTTTTAATTTCTGGACTCACATATTAGTAGTTCAGTTATAACAAACCTTTTAGCTCATAAAACCAATCACTGTATTGTTTGATACAGGACGTTATCTAAAAACATTTGCTTTATTAGTTGTTTTAAAAATATCTGCAGACATATCTGAGAGTCTATCGTGAAAATCTATATGAGAGTTGCGAGAACATATTGGTAACGTCATCGAAAAAAAATATATGAACATTGTTGGCGATCTTTACGCTCGGCAGGAACGCTGCACAAAGCTACAATCGATGTCGATACGAAAGCCTTCGAACTAGTATTCGTGATAATCCCTCGGGTATTCGAGAACTATTTTACCTTACGTAAACGATAGCTATATGTTTTTATATCATGACCGCAATAACCACAAACTAGATGCTTTTAAAATAATATAAAAAATATTTTGCAAAACAATACATTCTTACATAAGATATGAATTAATATGGATTTATATTTTAAAACATGTTCGAAAACCTGCTTAAGGTATTCGCATCTTTTTATTGAAAATTTAAATAATGGACTGGCCACAACCTTTTAACATCTGATGAGCAAAGAACGTAGAACGCAAGGTGAGCACTCTAAAATTGCAACTAAAAACAGTTTTTATTGTCATCTGCCACTAACATCTGTTGAAGTAACCGACAGTTTTATTTTAAAAAGTCCACATTCTCTGCAAATGCTTATAAAATTTTGCTGTACTGTCTGCAAATAAAAACGATTTATAAATTGCTATTTTATCTCAATTAACAATGAACTTAAAAATGTTGACTAGACTCCTATAACATTCACATTTACCTTTTTATAGAGGTAATTACTTCATGAAACAAGATTAGGCTTTTCAAGATAATCTTGAGCTGTTTTTTTATTTTATGCCAGTAACATATCAGAATTCATAGTTGTCATACTTGTCAATGTATTTTCTCCATTCTTCATCTTTGAAAATATATTTAGCAAATGCTTGCTAAATATGCTGACCTTACTGTATCAACAGGTAGTAGTGCCACCTGCCGCCGCGTCGCGCGCCCGCGCAGCGCTAGTGTCGCGCCAACCGCCGCCGTCATCGCACGGTTTGAATTGTTATCGACGCACCGTATTATCTTCACTCAATACTTTTCACGCAAAACGATTCGATATAATGACAATTTGTGAAGTGAGATATAAGTGTGTGATATTAAAATAAGTGATTTAAGTGCAATTTTCAAGTTTTCTCGTGATTTTGTTAAAGAAATCTCGCAGCAATAATTTTAACGGAACCTATCGTGTTGGATTATTTCTGTTCTTCGGTAAGTTTTCTATGGTGTTTCTAGTACTATGGTGACCTTTAACGGTATGCGTCGAGTTCCAAATCCGTTAAAATATCGACATGTCACTTATGATGTCGCAAAACCTCCGTGACCTTTGATAACTCGTAGTTGATATAGCTAGGAGTCGTTGAAATTTAAAAAAACTTGCAAAAATATGTTCTGTATTAGCAGTAATTCCAAGCTTTGCATGAAAGGACGCTTAAACTTTAAACAATTTATAACAATATCAATATAGTCTATGTTACTTAGGATAATGTAGCATTGTAAATGCGGAAGTTTTAAAAAAATTGCTCCAGTAGTTTTGAGGTTTCCAATAGTTTCAATTGAGCTGACATTTACTGGTCTTCAAAAATGTAAGAATTTTGTTAGTAAATGCTTCCTAATTTTAAAACTCAACATATATCTTTAAAGTCCCTATTTGTACTCCAGAACTCATAATAAATGACTCGAAGTGTAAATTAATTCCAGGTAAAGCAGTTTTTAAATATGTTTTAATATACGACATTGATTTTACGGAACTGATTGTAGTATACTAGTAAATAACCGGTTTTGTAATTTATGCATTTTTAATTGTCGCGTATTCATAATCATTAAAAAACTGTGAAATTCATAAGAAAAATATTGGAAATAATCTTATATTAAATTACAATTTAATTGGAATGTTTAGTAGAATTTTATATACCTAAATTTAAACACTCGAATTGTACGACGAAAAAAACTCAACGAAACTCAAAACAATAACTCAACTAAAAACAAGCACGAAAATTCCAACGGCGTCACTTTTTAAATGTTTGCAACACTAACATTTACCTGCTAAGTAAACAAGTAACCTGTTACTTGGCGCAGGTAACATTTACCCGAGGTCACCGTACCCACAGGGAACACTTTGTTGACTTTGAGTGTTAAAAGACAGGACCTGTCAAGCGTACACACTTCTTTGCCATGTGAAAATTATTGTAAATACGAAAAAGTCAGGAGTGTGTTATGCATTAATTGTTGAGTATATCATTTAAAATTATTATTGTTTAGTTCATTCCCCCGCTAAAATGAAACGAATCAATTTTAGCTTAGTCTGTATCTCAACAGTCAAAGTTTGATGGTGCTAGAAGTGTTTAAGCCTTGGGCAAATGTTTGTTCAAATGTGCGTAGGGATTTAGAAATGGTAGACGTAAAGAGAAATGTTCTAGTCAAATATTTGAACATATGTGTCAACTACGAGTATTTTCGTGTAACTAGACCAAGTTATTTAGAGAACGTGTTTTCATTTCTTTGGTGCCTGCTTTTAAGGAACTAAGAATTATTATTACATTATTAAATTCAATGAAAAGCTCCAATAACTTTTCGCATGTAAAAAGCAAAGATTATCCCTTTTCCGATCTGAGTGATATAATTCTATTCTTACAATTAAAAGGAGACAGAACAATATAGTCTGAGAAAAGATTTGGCTGCAGATCTTCGAGTTCACACGATGTACGTGTGAATTGGATCAATGTTGTCTGGAGTTGGCCGATAGGTGGAGGTCAAATCGCTCAGTGAAAGTCGATCGTGTTTATCACCGCATTGTCTTCCGTGTAGAGTATGCCCACTGGCTATCTAGGTTTATGAAAGTTATATTAAATCACTTGACTGTTAATTTAAAAATAATGTAGATTGGTGAGAGGTTATTAGAATGAAGGCTTTAGGAGTAAGCTGTGTTAGCAAGTATGACATCATAAACCAACACGGAAAGACTTTCCGCGTGATTCACAGAAAATAATTTTGTCTTTTCCTGTCTGTAACTATTAAAAGTTTCGCCTCAGAATTTTATAAGGTTTACTTTATATTGTGGTCTGTTTCATACATTTCTTTCTTTTACTAAACATAAACATATCTGATGTCAAAGTTCATCGTAAAAATGTTTAAATTTTAAGTTTCTCCCAAAGAATTCGGGTAAGGTCAGAGTCAACGACACTGAGCTTCGTCTTTGCTAATCCGTGGCAGTAATGTACCACGAACCGGATTCTAAGGCAGACTTACATTTACCTTTTTTTATTATTCTTTTGAAGTTTCATATTTCTATATTTAACTATTCGTCCGCGTAAATTAAAAAAATATAATAAAAAACAGTACATCCTGTTACTTTCAGATGACATAGCTTTAATGGTGAAAGAATTCTTGAAATCAGTCAGTAGATTTGACTTATTTCATTACATACGAAAATACAAAAATTTCCTCTTTTTAATATTAGTTTAGGTAATAGTATAAAACGAAAATAGTCAGTTTATTTTATCAATATTTACTTAATTATTGTTTTGAATATAATTGATTTGAAACTAAGGTTCTTTTATCTTATTTTGGCGGCAAGTTCTCTCTTTCTCTTAGTTAAGATTTTGGACTTAACCTAAATGTTATAAAATTAAAAAAAAGTAGGTACAGGAAATTGGTTAGAGGATATCGTAATAAGATATGCAACAACTTGTTCTATTGGGACTTTATTGAAAACGCAATTACCTTTGTGACTGCAAACAGCATATAGATCGTAATTGACTTTTTGTCAACGTATGTGAATGAATACAAGGTCACATAATACGGACATTACCAACAATAGGGATAAATTAATTCGTGATACAGACGTTTTTATAACTAATGGGTAACAATTATTTTCTTTATTGCTTAATCAAAAGTTAAAGACATCTGATGGACATTATTATGGTATAGAATCAATTAATAAAGACGTATACATAATAATTTAAACATGTTATTAAAATAAAACGTTAATTTATGATAATTAAGATTAAGTTATAATTATGTTTTACCAATTATTATTATCAATTTCTTAGAAAAAGGGGAACAACGGACGTTTAACTTAAATTATTTGTGAGTTCCAAAGCTAAAAATGACTGGTAAAATCGAAGTACAAAGGCCCTAGTAATCATAAGTTACCGCACAGAGTGGGTAAATCTCGCAAAAAAAGTTTGAAAACCCCAGTCATGATGAAATGCTACAAATAGGGTTGAAACACAAATACAAATAAATTTTGTCATAGTTCTCATTTCACACAAATAAAGCAAGCTTTACGCAATGCTCATCCAATTTAGACGAAGAGCGCTCGCACACGTTTGATTAAACTATCGCAGAACTGTTTAGTCGCGCTTTGATATGAGCTCATATGGATGCGCACACCACTCGATTTTTAGTTGTGCAACTAAACAGTTGAATTTGAGAAACAATCGACAATCGCACAACTAGGCTAGCCATAGGTGTACGCCCGCTCAAAAAAAAGGCTTATGTAAATCTAAAGTGTAACTACAATTGGTAACTGTCTCACGTTTGCATTTGTTGCATGTGTTTCATACGATTACTGAATTCAAATCAATTTTGTACTTTCTATATTATTTTGTGGAATTTGAAACGTAATACTTACGTAACATTGTAGCTATGTAAATGTTTTTTTAGCAGAAATTGATAAAATGCTAGCACTAATAACACTGATAAAATTTTTATCTCTTCGTAATAGTTTAGTGTGTATTTTCCGTGTTTTAAATAAAACTTACTTCTTACTAATGTTATAAATGCGAAAGTTTAGATAGATGGATGTTAGTTAGAGTTTGTAGCCTAAAATACTGAACGAATCTCGATGAAATTGGCATGGATATAGAGGATATTGTGGAAGAAAATATAGGCTACTTATTTTTGTATTTATGAATTTCACGCGGATGGAGTCGTGGGCGATAGCTAGTATATAAATGGGAAAATGTCTATGTTTGGATGGATGTTAGTTAGGTACCTCATAAACGATTGAACGGATGTCTATAAAATGAGGCATACATGAATATAGTGATGATGGCATTTTTTATTTTTAAAACTTATTTGTCCAGTAACTTTGTGACCTTTTAGTGTAATCGTAACATCGTTCTCATATAAGTTATGTTAAGTAATAAGGCACTTAAACAGTATTTTGTAAGACACGGAATTACCAAGTGAAGGGATTCTAGTGTTTTGCATAATCGTTTCAATAGCATAACCTTTTTATTTAAATTTTCTTACATTTAAAGTTTGATACTTAAAATCTAATGTTCCTTGCCTTGTCCCATAGACTTTTTAGAATATGTACAATTTCCATTATGAGTTTTGTTTTTTTTTAAAGTGGTTATTTTGTATGTAACACTGCAAGATAAATGTTTTTGATATTCTATATTTATATTAAGGAAGTGACGCACAAACTTCTTGATATCTATATTTTATCTGTGGATAAAATAATCCTATTGAGATACAGAACTTGGGGAGACTTTTAGGTTCGCAGTGAAAATAATGAGTATTTTAAACATAAAATATTTATAAGTTCCCTAAAAGTAAACTGTTATACTTCATATTAATATTATGAATGCGAAAGTTTAGATGGATGGATGTTTGTTAGAGTTTGTAGCGTAAACGGCTGAACGGATTTCGATGAACTTTGGTACGTATAGGATAGTCTGGAAGAAGACTAAGACTGCGCACTTTTGTTTTTTTTTTTCAATTCTACGCGGACGGAGTTACGGGCAAAAGAATCAAATATTTGAGTACAAATACAATTTTTTGCAGAATTCTGAAGTCCTCGGTTTTTGTAAACAAAACTTGTCTGAAGTACTCTATGTGTATCTCACATTGCCACGCGAGTGTACTTTTATGACACAGTTATGAAAGTACATTCCAGTAGTCAAGCGTTTATATTTCAACAATTACAAAATAGAGTAAACACTTTTGATATCGAATGTCCATTGTTGTCAATTGTATAATATAGACAACTGCGCATCAACTGTTTACAATATTTATAAAACTATTCATAAATATTTACCTCATGCATTTATGTTAGAATGTTTAAGCAAGCATTTATCTCATAAAACACACATTTAGTACATTCGTTAAAAAATATACTGACACTCCAATTTTTATATATTTGAATTTAGTAACGGCCATTTCTCATTTCAATTTGAGTGTTGCAAGTGACCACGACTGCGCAAATCGTTTAATTTTAGAGCGTGTCTGCGAACGTGTCTGTTGCAACTAACTGTATTTGGGTAAATAATACAAATATGTAGGTTTTATAAGGTAAATCTATACTAATATTATAAAGAGGAATGATTTGCATTTTTGTATGTATCGAAATAACTCAAAAACTACTGGGCAATCCAAAATTTTTTCACCATTAAAAGGCTACGTTATCGGTGTGTTAACCGTTGTGTTATTTAAACGCATAATCTTATGAAAATCGTGTTTGTAACAAAATAATATAATAAAAATAACTGTTTAAAGAATCAATCTCTGTACAGTTATAAGTAAATCTATGTTTTTGTTATAAGTTGAGTTTAAATATAACAGCATTCGATTCAAACTAAGCACGATAATTCTAGAAAACTAGCCATCATTTAGGTAATCTCATCGTTACAATAAAGATGTTTTCTCCCCTTTCTCAATTGAAAGTATGTTATCTAAGTGTATTATGTAAATGAGCTATTTACCAAGCAGTATAACTTGCCGGTTCGATTCCCGCGCCGGGCCCCACATACACTTTCGCCATCCGCCAAATCTGCACACAAAGAGTTATTTATTTGGGCCATGAAACAAGCGAAGAGAGACAATAATTATATTTTGTATGATAAAAAATAAATAGAAGACCGCGAAATCTAGAATCTGTGAAGAATAATATCCTAGTTGTAAAGAATTTGTAAAAGCGATTCAATAAATAATGATTGCCTGTTACGTTTAACTTGTTGAATAATATTGAAGCCGATTGTAACAAGGAAACGTTAGTTCAACTCAATCTATGCACTGAAATTAAGTTTACTGACAACTACGAGTACTACTATACCTAAAACAGCTAGAAATAGGTTTATATTTTGCCGCCGTTTTAATGGCCACACACAATCCAGACTGACAGGATGTCATAAACAGGTTGCAAGCGTACCGCAGTGTTCAGTTCACTGCTGAGGCAATCGTCTAGATTGATCACACTCGTTGCCTTGTCCGTGGTCTGGCTATTGTTGGCTACCAAATGGACCATTGTGATTGTAATCCGGTCTGTCTTATAATACGTTGACAATTCAAATGTTATAAAACTGGACTGGATTGATTTTGATTGTATCGTTTGATATAGCTGCCAATGTAGAAACATATACTTATTTACTTACTTACATATACTTTAAATATATTGTGGTCTCTTATTTAAAAAACAATGAAAAGAGTGGCATTAAATTTTACTAGGTAAAAGCTTGAGCTCAACTTCGACTGCGTGGAATTAAAAAAATAGTTAATCGCATATGTGTTGTTCCAGACTATATCCTACATCTGTATCAAATTTAGTCAAGATCATTTAAACCGTTTCGAAGATACATAGTAAGGTAGTAAAAACACGTATCCATCCATTTATGATTTAAAAGCTTTAGAAAATGTGACGTCAATCGTATTTGAAATTATTATAGCTTGCAATTGTTTATCTTGACCATGTACTAATTAAACCATAGTCCTAACTACTTCTGACAACTTTGAATAATTATATAGTGATTTACTGATAGGTTTTAATTGATTTAATTACACAGCTTAACTCAAAACTGGGTCTTCCATTTCTCTTTTAAGGGAATTACAATCATTCTATTATAACATAAGTATATTTCGTTTTCATTATAATCCAATTTTTAAATAGATTTGTAAAATATGGGTCGTTTTAACAATTACTTACTTTATAATTTGCGCTCAATAGAGCGCAAATTATAATGAATACATTATTTAATTATTAAAAAACTTTATTGGCCTATTTAATAATTATCGTACGATGCAATCACATTTGGGCTGTCGCAGGTAGCGCGCCGGCGCCGACTTTTTGTTCCATCACCAACGCTCCTCCTACACCCGCCTGTTGCGTTGTAATTGTTGTTTCTGTCTATTATAATGGTTAAATCTAAGCCTACACACATACCGTGTTTTTTTAATTTACATTACTTTTAATTACAGCGATGCCTAACGCCTTGGCGTCTATTTATAATCGAAATGTCGACAAGTATGATAACGAAGTGCTATTTTCAGATTTGTTGATTTTGGTTGTAATAATTTAAATACGACATAAGGAGACCTGGACCCGCCTTCATATTTGAAAAGAACTTTACCATCGAAATCGGTATCGTGCTATAGTAGTGGCCCATCACTAGATCATTGACATACACGTCCCGTCACCATGACATCTGTCAATGTCAATCAGAAGAGCTAAGGATGCCCGCGCCATTCTGGCGGGAATCGGTATATTGAGTATTGAAATAGATTTACGTTAAGATTATATGATTGTTTAAAAATATAGACCTATTCTTGCGTTGAAAATTTCTATCTGGAGTTGATTTTCGTGGTTTAGGATCAAGTTATAAAGGTGATACCGGAAGATATAGTTTCCCAGTATTGAAACGGTAAATTGAAAGTTAAAAGTTATCAGCGATATCAGATATTATCTGAGATAAGTTTATCTCTGACCTTGTCCCAATGCAAATGAATATAAATAGATAATTCTAGGTTCCAATAATGTTTTACTTATCATTATGATAAAACAAATTATTATGTTTTTTTTAATTAGCTACAATAGGTTCTGGTGATATTTTAGACGGGTATTGGCGTTTCCTTTACAATTGCAACTGAAATTTTTAAACTCCTACTGGCAAAGGATGTATCTAATAATTATGAAGAATCACTACTTCTGAAGACCGTATATTTAAGACCTTCAGTTAGTATAAAAATGGTTTTCAATCAGCACAGTTTGAGCATAACTACTCGGCCGTTGGCTTCACAAACGCTTATCACCGTTATCAGCTGTCACGCTTGTGATTATCGACGAGTTACGTCGACAACCGACGTACGTTTTTTGTTATTTCTTTTATGGCCTCTTGTGTCGTCGATTGTTTTTTTAAAGATTTTCAATTTTATTTGGAGTCATATTTCCAATGTTTCCAAAAACTATCGCACAAATGTTTTGCGATTGTCGATTGTTTCGCATTTCATTCATCTGTTTAGATGCACAATTAAAAATCGAGTAATACGCGCACCTCCATAAGCTCAAAGCGGGACTAAATAGTTGTGCGAATAATTTAAATTGTGCGATTTGGATGATTAAATTATATCATTTTACGTAGTTTAAATAACGAATGCAGTAACAGGTTAAAACTGAATGGCCGTCATTTCTGAAATAGATTAAGTATCAGGTGTCACAGTGAAGGGTAACGCAACACCCGCTGTTACGTTACAACCGCAACTGCTCATGCAAACATACAGACAGACACTACATATAAAATAAAACTAAATCTCTTGTCTGAACTCTATAAGTATGATAGATAGGTTAGATTTTTAAATAGCTTGTACCAATAAATATACGTTACGTTGTTAATTTAGTTTCTTAGGTACTAGCTGTTGCTTGCGACTTCATCTGCGTGAAATTAAAAAATAATTATAACATGATTTTGGTACTGATAACGTAGCTTTATAATGGTGAAAGAATTTATTAAATCGGTCCAGTATTGAGTTATTTAATATTAGTACAGAAAACTAAAATACATTATAGTACACTAGTAGTATTTCTCGTGGTACATATTGTTTTTTGTCGTCAGGTAGTTGCGATGCAGTGGTGACCCCGGCGTGATGATGAGGCTCGAGGCTCCAGAGAAGCAGCACCGCTACCACAACCTCCTCGATGACGACCACGCCAGTAAGTACCTACTCTTTATTACAAATATTACTAACTGCCATATATAAAGAACTAAAGGGATGTCTAATATCAAATAGCAATATACTGCTGACCACGTCTGCAGAAAGTTTAAATGTTACACATGGGTTCTTCGTCATATCTATCTTACTAATATTATAAATGCGAAAGTTTGGATGGATGAATGTATGTTAGAGTTTGTAGCCTAAACAGCCGTTTAGGATCAGACAGATCTCGATAAAATTTGGGATAGAAGTATAACATAGTCTGGAAGAACACATAGGCTACTTACTTTTTTTCCATGCGGACAGAGTCACGGGCGAAAGCTAGTTATGAAATAACATGTAAAATAAGAACATGGTATACATATAAACAATGAATATTTTCCGCGCATGTTTTTGTAATTAGATAGCCGTCGCGATATACCGCGTGACATCCGACAATGAAATACGTGACAAAACTTAGAATTATTACTAAAGTGATGTAACTGACGTACAACTTTTTACAACTAAGTAAATATGATATTACCATAATTCTCATTTTGTATCATCATCACCAGCTCACTATACGTCCCCACCGAGAGGCTCGAAGCCTACCCTAATAAAGGGTGACTAGGTCTTAGTCAACCACGCTGGCCCAGTGGGGGTCGGTTGACTTCACACATATCTTTGAATTTCTTCTCCGATATGTGCAGGTTGCATCACGATGTTTTCCTTCACCGTAAGAACGTCGTGTAAAAACTTATTTTGTACAATACATACAAATTCTCTTCAAAATACAATAACTCTACTGAGTAAATTCAGTTCTATGAAAAATTATGCATTGTCGTGTCTCTCATGTTTATTGCCGTACATTAAGGTAGATGTACACTCGGTGACATAATGGTCATTGTGGCTCGCAGCACGCAACCGCTATTATAAGGTTTTTGCTGCTATTATGTTGTAAATATGACTACGATCCGTCCGGTATGTACAGGGTAACGGAGATGTGTTCAATGACAGGTGATACGATATTTTATCTGCACAACGACATATGGGAGTAACTGTGTGGTCTGCACCTGTTTCCGGCCGCCACGTCCGGTGCTTTGTGCGCGGGAAGCGAACCCGCGACTACCAGCAAAAGCGACGCGCTTCGCTGCCTCACCTAACTGTCACGTTCTACATTACGTTCTATAATGAAATGTGTTCCGACCTTTATATCATTAGACAATTTAAATTGTCTGCTAGAGGAATTGGCCTTTAAAGATAGATATTGTTTTTTAGAAGAGTAATATGCAATAGTTTTTTTCAATAGAACATGACGCTCGTGCGAGCAACACGTGTAATTAGATACGGTACATACATTTATGCTATCAACATCTGCTATTATATATCGTCGAATAGGGTCATTAAAAGCATTCTCTAGGAATAAATATATACTATTGCATATTAAAGTCTAGGAAAATATCTTTCTATATAGTTTAACTTAGAAGTATCTATTGGTGTCACTTTTCTACACAGAAGTAGCGATTTATTCTTTCTTCAGGCTCAAATGCAAGACCAATGTTTGTCTTCTAAGTGCTAGTTTTCTCAAAAGAGACAACCCTATCGTATAGTATCTAACATTTGCAAGAATAATAATAGCAATGTTCACGTTTTCCGTTTAACGCGTTTTGATTTACAGCTAGATTATATTTGACTCCGTTATCTTTATTTCGTACAACGCCTTTTACAGGCCTTTAAGTGAACATTTTATAATTCATTAAGTTGTTAAAACTGTTATGTTTCTTAAAATTGTGTGCAATTAACTATTTTTTTGTAAACCAACCCGCAGTGGGCCAGCGTGGTTGACTATGGCCTAGTCATTCTTACTTAGGGTAGGCTCCGATTTTAGGAAAAAATCTATAAATTTTAATTTATCTACAATGTTTTTCCTTTTTATTGTAGACATCAGAATATAAAAAAAATGTTTGGAAAAGATATGCAGGAAAATGTAAGAATTTTTCCGTTTAAAGCTTTGACATATCTTCTTGTACCATAGTACTCCGAGCGAATTTTGAAATTACAGATTTGCGTGTCTGTAATTTTATTAACTTGTATGTATAAGTCATTAAATTGAATAATAACATGTTAGATATATTTAAACAAATAGCTTGTTAGCCTATATAATTTGTTACGGACATAACTTGTGATTATGTTATCACATTTAGTTAAATTGAGTGCTTGCGGGTCATTGGACTGTTGGTGTAATTTTATTAAAAGTATTTACTACCGAAGAATAAATGTACTGTCATCTTACTTTAAAATAGATACTTTTATATAATTCAATATTTCGATTTCGATGTTTTTATCAAAAATCCCAACTATTGCAGAGTAATAAAAAATAGTATACGCAACGTAACCCATTCATGTAAGAAGACTATTAATTTGATTATGAAAGTAACAATTAAATTGTAATCTTCAAAGAAATATTAATAGAATCTTTGCTATATAAAACACATTACATGATAGTAATGAAGCTATAGGTCTCAATATTGTCGCAACAGCAGCTAGACGAGTTCCGCTGGCTGCGCCCGCGCAAGGTTGCACAGATAATCCCGACTTATTGATGTTATTAGTATGTAATTAGATTTACTATTACTATTATCAATTACTACAACATTAAAGATAGATACTATAGTAGAATAAATATGCCTTTAAAGTTAAATAAAACGTAAACACACACTTCTTTGTTGCCTAAGATGTCAGCAATTACAGCACATTTTTGAATATTTCTTTTTTAAATAAAAAGCAATACACTTGCGTCACGCTTTACCCTATATATTTTAACGCTATTAAACTTAGAGGGTAAACATTTTAAATAAAAATCATAATATGGCAAAGAGACCATAAGTTGCTGCCAACATCAAGGAAGCAAGGTTGTCATCATGTCATGTCATTTAGACATTTGTAATTGATAATTTGACAAATGTAAACAACGAAATAAAATTTTCATAATTTCATGCGGATGAAGTCGTACGGGAACTGCTAGTATATTAATACATTGCATTTGCGTGTGCGCATATCCTAAGTTCAGATGTAAGGCGTTGCAAATCATTACCGCGGCCTTGGGCGACAATTGTCACAGATTGGTTCCACTTGAGAATCAGATTGTGCCAGTTATTGCTGTTTGAATTTAATCGTAGTCTTCGTGAAAACACTTTCGATTCCATTAGTAGTTCCTTAACCAACTCTTTAGTTTGCTTTAAAGGTCTGTTCTCAATTAAAATGTTCTTTTGGATTATTTTCTTGATTTTCTGTTCTTGTTTTAGTTTTCTTGTGGTGTTTGGTGTCCTTTACATTTATCGCTTTGTTACTAATTTGTATAGGAAAAAATATGTAAATCCACATGTAAATCAATCAGTATATGGCATTAATGAATATTCATGACGTAATTATTCGCATCGGTAGTCGTGACTGTATCAATCGCCAAATTTGCATTCAATTCCGCGCTACGACGAACAAACAAAATGGTTTATATAATTATCATATAAAAGCCATGACAAGAAGAAAAAACTACAAGACATGTCTTTCGTTATGACAAACTGACAAATTAATGAACTAACTAATATTATAAATGTAAAAGTTTAGATCTATGGATGTTTGTTAGAGTTTTCATCCTAAACTGCTGAACGGATTTCGATGAAATTTGTAGATGTATGGGATAGTCTGGAAGAACAGATACTCTACTTACTTTTTCTACAAGCGGCCAGAGTCGCTAACGAAATCTAGTGATTATTCAATGATTTTCCTGTTCTAGACATTTTTTTATCAGTCACTAAAATGTGCTCTAATTTCTACAAGGATTTATAAAAATCGTGACTATGTCAATAAGACAATATAAATATAGCCCACGGAACGCGGTATGAGACGTCCTTGCTAAGATAAATCTACTAATATTTGCACTATACTCTTGCTCGCCAATTACGTATCTGAAGCAATTTTAATACTGATAATTGTTTTGTTATTTGTATCCCGTTTAGACTTACTGGTCAAAATGGAGAAACTAATCGAGAATTATGGTCGAAGCTCCTTTTTGCCTTTTACAAATAATTGTAGATTCTAACCACGGCATCTAAATTATCAGATAAGGTAAACGGCAATCGACACGAGATGTGACGCCGAAGGTCACTGTGTGGCGACAAGTGACGGATACTGATTGACTATTTACTGGCTGTGTCAACATCGCCTCAGCGACCTTGCGCCGCCTATCAATATAAACTTACTAGCTGTTGCTCGCGACTACGCCCGCGTGTAATTAAAAATAATACAAAATGTAGCCTATGTTACTCGCTGATAAATTACCTTTCTAATGATGATATAATTGTTAAAATCGACTTGGTAGTTTTTGCGTGGATCAAATTCATACAAAATTCCAAAAATACCACATCTTTTTTCTTAATAATAGTATAGATATAGTTTGGCACTGTACAGAAGGATGTTTTAGTTACATAAAAACGATACTTTCAGCAATAGGTGGTTATTTTATGTCTGCATAAAACTTAACTGCATAAATCTACATAAAACTTAACTAAATATTAAGGGAATGTGAGTGCAGCGTTAGCTATCTTAACTCAATTTAACGAGCACTTAGACTCTCTCTTAAATCAAAATACGTACTTGGCAATTTTAAGGACTTGTTAAATATTTAAACTTGTTTATAAACAAGAGGAGTAGTCGGACCTATTCTTACGTGATATGCCAATACTACAATGAATAGCCTTGCCAAGTCTACGTGTGTTTTATATTGACATATTTTTAGTGATGATTTCATTGCACGAGTAAACCTTAGATTTACTATTCGATTCGACTTTGTTTGCAATCAATTTGCAGTTCTGACCTCACTTTGATGATATCTACTAGTTTAATTACTAACAAGGTGTAAAAACGAAGACTTAAAATCCACGATATTGTTACTTTGACCAAAGAAAATTACCTATCAGTACGTAAAGAAGACATGGCTATATAACATATCCAAAATTAAAT